TACTTACAAAGACTTTGTTTTTTTTTAAAGTAAGGATTATCTTTTAATGCAAAGAAAGTTTGAACATAAGGTAATTCTGGCCTTTTTGCCTCTCTCTTATAGTACAATTCTAGTTGTGAAATAGTATCATAATCAACACTTCTCTCTGCTTCCCATTTTGCCTCTAAGAAGTAAGCAGGCCATGTATGGGTGCAGAAAAATATTAAACAGCTCTTTCTCAATAGGATCAAACTATTTTCAGTGCTTAATAATACATTGCAAAGGAGTAAGAGAACTTGACATTGAGTTTCTTCAAAACAACAAGGCATAGCTTTTAGACCCTACTTGATTTTATATCCTCTCAAAGCATCCCCTGAGGTGACCTGCTCCAGAGCAGGTGCCTGCTTTCTAAAGAGTGACCACAAGATATGTCAAGTTTGACTAGCCACCCTTACTTACTCATGCCCCTACCTTCTCTGGAAACTCACACTCCTAACTCTAGCACGTGTTTCCAAAAGCAAAATTACAATTGATTCCAGCTGTCAAAATCATGTTTAAAGAAGGGAGCATGCTATACCAAGAGGGCAATGCCAGGTGCCTTCCAAAGGCCTTTAGGTAGACCCTCTGTAGAGTAACTCTAACTGCTGATCACAACTAGGACCCTCTTCAGCTAGAAGTAGCCAGAGCTGTCTTTGCCCTTTGCCCCCTCACAGCAGTTAGGGATACTTCTAGATAGGTAAGTTAATACAATATCTTGTGAGCATTTAGACAGGGCTACCCTCAAGGAGCCAACATGGAAGACAGTAAAGACACGTTCACTGAAGGCCAGAACAGTAAAAGGAGGGAAGCTACTATACCCTTGTGCTTCCCCTGGGGATAAATAGGTTTCAATCACCTGGGGGGAGGCAAGGTCTTAGCCCAGCCTTTCTAGGAAATATCCCTGACCCCCACCATTTCTGAAAATCCTTGTACATTTGCTATGTGACTTGCTCCCCCATTTGACCCCCATTTGATCATTACCTGGGTGACTGTACTTGTAATCGTATTGGTTAGTCATGGTTTGGCCCCACCTCATGCCCACCTTGTAATTTTCCATTGGGTCTTATACTTTTGTCCCACTTTGTAACTGCCTCACCACATGGCTTTGCTGTATAAAACGTCTTTGAAAATTAGGGTGAGTGGGCAACCCACTTTCCAGTCCCCCTTCTGACTCTCTTAGACAGAAGCTTTCTTTCCCTCAATACATTTTTTCCTGCTCCTAAAAAAAAAGAAGGGAGCACGCTAGCAAAATTAAACCAATGATCAAGAGACCTGAAAAACTGCTTTCCAATTCTTTGAAATAGAGTGAGGGGGAAAAAATCAAAAGGCAAATTGGAAGTGGTTGGAGCACTTCCCAGCCTACAAAAGAGATCAACTCTAGAGATGCAAATAATGGCTCAGAAAAATCCTGCCCTGGGCTCTAGGGCAAAGAAGTCCCCAAGACATTTGTGCTGTCTATCTAGTCACCTAGGCAATCTTCCTTAGCAACACATTTATGAAGCCCACCATGGGTTGTCTTAATTACTTTGCTTTCACTGCTGAGACAAAATACTCGACATCCTCCGTTAAACAGAAAAAGGCTTACTTAGGTCACAGTTTGTAGAGGTCTCAGTCCATAATTGGCTGGCTCCAAGGCAGAGCGTCTTGGCAGAGGGGCATTTTAGAGAACAGTTCATGGCAGAACAGAAGGTAACAAAATCAACAAGGGACATTTACTGAATCTTTCTGACCCCTTTTATCTTATCCAGACTACTTAGGGCAGGTAAACTCACACTCTTAATCCTAATGTCTTTGAGCTTAGCACTGCACCATGAATCAATTCCAGTATCATACTCTAGATCCAGCCACCTCTGAAAAAGTCCCACCTATCTACATGAGCCTTTAAAGGGACATCTAAACACAAGCTATAACACAGGTTAAAGCCTGTGCCCATCGCCCAGCAACCACAACTTACACATTAGCAAAAGTATTTCCCTCCCTTGCACACAAATATGATGAGAACTGGCCTAGGAAGGGGGCAGGGGAGAGAGAGAGCCAGGAAGTTAGGGATTCTCCCTTAAACTGAATATGTTTTGGTCCCTTAAATATTGTTCTTGAGGAAATGTCTCCCTTTGGCCTCATCCAGAAGTCAGTTCTTTTTATGGGTCTCAGGATCAGTTTCTCATACCTTGAGGACTATTGCCCAGAACACTTAAGCAGGAACACACTTTCATGCATGTTCTCCTGGACAGGCAAAATTTCAATGTCTCGTCTCTAAGATAACTTCCCTGACTTCAGCATTAGCAAATGCTCATTTTCTATGGACCCAATTTAAAAGTTCTTAGTCGTTGGATAAAAGGGGAAAGTTGAGAAAGTTTAAGTTTTCCCCTTTTCTAATCTTTAGCCGAAAGATGCGTCCAAAAAAGGAAAGTACAAAGTGACAGGAAAAGATCAGAAATGAGATCAGAAAAAGGAAGGTTTTGTTTTTGTTTTGTTTTGTTTTTTTGTCATGTTCATGGTGAGTTATTGAGACAATTTGCCCATGAGTCATCACTTTCAGCCTGGAAAGGCAAGAGTGGAGAATTTTGAGAGCTAAGATTGCCTCCTCACCAGTGGAAGATCAAACCTGAAAGGGAACTGAGGCAAAGCAGGCTTGACATTCCCCTCTAAAGTGTAGAGGGGAATCAGGCCAGTCTATCCCAGGGAAACCGGTCCTCCAACTCTTAGGGAACACATGCCAGCCTATTGGCTTTTAACTAGCAGTTGGAGTCCCGCCGGTTTATTAATAGGCATGCATATTTCCTAAATATAAACTAGATTTCATAAACAGACCCATTTTACAGTATTTCATAAATTCACATTTTGGTTAGTTTCAAAGACCACTAGGGGATGCTCTAACATTACTTTCCCCTAGCATTACACTATGATAACTATAACAGTCAAAAGAAGTCAAACAGGTCAAGCAAGGAGCACCAATAAATTCAGCAACTAGTATGTCCAAATGCAGCATCTACAAAAGAGGAATACAAGACCTTCCCTACAAAAGTAAAATGTTCTATCAAAGAAACATCATTTTCCCATGTTCTCAATTTTAATTTATCATCATAACAAAAAATTATGTGCAAAAAGACAAGGCATAAGTAACTGACAAACCAAAATGACAATTTCCGATTAGCTAAATGAGTCACAATTTGCCGGGCATGGTGGCACACACCTGTAATCCCAGCACTTGGGAGGCTAAGGCAGGAGAATCTCTGTGAGTTTGAGACCAGCCTGGCCTACATAGTGAGTTTCAGGTCAGCCTCAACTACATAGTGAGACCCTGTCTCTAAAAAACCAAAAACAAACAAACAAACAAAACAAAAAAATTGAGTCACTATCCAGAAACCATGAAACAAAAGCAAACCCTTACCTCATTCCTATTATTTTGCTGGGGCCTCCAAATGATATAGGGAAAAGAAATGTACCTCCCAACCTGCTAGATGTCAGATATTCCAAGTTTGTAATTCCCCAAATCAAATGATGAATTCTAAGGAACAACAGAGGCTAGGTGTAGGAAAACTTTTTGAGAGAGATGGCTCCTGAGAGAAAGGAGGGGACCCTAAAGTGGGTTGCCAATGAGCCCACTTCTCAAAGGAAGTTTTATAGAGCAAAATTATGAGGTAGATACAATGTGGGTCAGAAGTATGATCAACCAATAAGATTTCAAGTATAGCTGCTTAGGTAATATTGAGCCAATGAGGAAGCAGGTCACGTAGCAAGTGTAGATGGAAAGAACAAAGACCTTTATTTTTTTAGGAAGGAATGGATCTGGAAGCCTTGGCTACCCACTAGGGTAACTGATGTCTAGCTAGACTTTATTGGGCCAGGTGATGCCAATTATCTTATCCCCTGGAGAGGTACGCAGGCCTGCCTGGTTGTTCCATCTTTGTCTTGAGACCTGACCTCCAACAGATGTGCCTCTGGCCATATTGTAATGTGCTCTCATCCTCTGCACTGACTCCCTCAAGGGCCTAATTCTGTCTGACTACCTATATTGCAACCTATTTTAGCTGTTTATACTAATAGGGTCTTCTGGAGAACTGACCTAAAGCACCTTTCCACCCACTTTCTGGTGTGGCCATAGGCTCTGTAATTCTCAAGCAGTATAGTCCTGAAATAGAGCTGAAGGTTTCTAGTGTGATATGTTAAGTCCTTTTTGAGTTCTCTTTCCATCAGGGTGGGACAAAACTGCATTTCATTATTGTTCCAGTCCCCAGTGGGTAAATTCTGGGTAAAATAAATACCTGTCCCAAGGACAAAAAAATAATTCTCAGCAGTAGTGGATTTAAATCCTATTAATGAAGACAAACTTTTCTAGTGGCAATACAATTTGCAAAGCTAAATTCTACCCCACATTACATAATTGGGCCAAGCCAATTCTGCTCCCCTCTTCTGTCTTCTGCCCTGACACCAATGGTACACAGGAGACAGCTGTGTCCTGCTCTGGTGAGAGAAGAAGCCAACCACCCACAGGGCCAGTGTCAGTAGCTCAGAGACTCAGCCGGGACTTTGATATAACAATTCTCATACAGTGTTAGTGGACCTTAATCCAGTTTTCTCAAAGAGTGGTCCTAGGACTAGCAATAGGAGCATCACTTGAGAACTGGTTACAAATGCAAATGCTTGGGCTTTTCCCATAACCTGAAATATCAAAAACCCTAGGGTTAGAAGTATTTCTAGCTATCTGCATTTTAGCTATCCCTCCAAGGCTTCTGATACAAACTGAAAGTTGGGAACATTGCTTTTGTTAAATCAAGCGCCTTCTGTCTTTAATCTCTGCAAAAAGAAATGAAGTCTCAAATAATGTAACAAAACCCTAACTAGAGACGGGAATTAGAATGGGGGGGGAGTTAACAGTTTGTTCTTGCTTTTACATAAACAGCTCAAGGGGGCTGTAACTAAACCCAAATGTACAGTACTTTGTAATCTCTGATAAGAAGAGATTTCTGGTAACAACAGAAACAGTTCATAAAGGAAAGGGCTTGAACTGGAATAATAAATTGCCTTTGCCTCAAAGGAGAAGTCTGCCATAGCTTTTCAGGCCCCAGGATATAACAATTTTAATAATTAAAATTAATTATTTTGTGGAAAGGAGTTTCTGCTATTTCCTGGACTTTCAAACTCTATGTGACGCTCCAAAGAAGTGAAAGGACAAGGTAGGTTTTGAAGGATGGGATATGAAGTCTGCAGATAGAGTATGTGAAGGGCTTAGGGTTGAAGCAGAAAAATCTGATGAAAAGTTGGGGCAGGGGTCCGGGCTCAAGACCTTTGTCAAACAAGTGTGCAAGTGGTACAAAGATGGGGATGCTATTCTGCTCTTTTAGAAAGAATGTCCTAAGTTAAGGATCATTTATTTTAAGAGGCAAAAATGTAAAACTATAATTTAAATCATATTTCAGGAATGGAAACATGCAACTAATTCATAGGCATATAAGGTAAAACATTTTTAGGTCTTAGAGAAATGGCGTTTTTTTCAGCTGTGGAAAAAATACTTTCAGGCTTGCACATGTTCTGGATCACTGTCCTTGCCTTCTTTGCTGTGTGTGTCCATCTTGGTGCTTTCCTTGATTTTTTTCTGGTCAGCGATATCTGCATGATTCAGAGCACTGCAGAATTCCTTCTACACAGCCCATATGGAGTTATGGTATGTGGTAAGGTGAGTTTGCTGGTTGATAGGATTAGAGGAAAACTGTGAGACAGAAGCTTCAAACCAATTGGTGAAGCAGAATTCAGAGATGAAGTTTAGTAATCCCTTCCCTCAGTATTCATGGATGATGTGTGCCAGGACTCGCTGTAATGCCAAAATCTGCATGTATGGTATAGTACTTGCATAGAACCTTTGCACATCCTCCCATGTACTTTTTTTTTCAGCTTTAATTGAGTTTATTGGTACATTTTAGGGATACAGTACAGTTACATTCACTGTTGGGATCTTGTACCTCCACATGACAGGTCTTGATTCTCATTTTTTCCCCTTACCCCTGCCCTCCCTTCACCCCCCCTCCCATGTACTTTAAAGCACCTCTAGTTTACTTATAATGCCAAGACAAAGCAAATTCTATGCAAATAGTTGTTATACTATGTTTCTTAGGAAATAATTATAAGAAAAAGTATGTACGTGTTCGGTACACATAGTTTTTTCCAATGTTTTTTGTTGTTGTTGTTACCGGGAATCGAACTCAGGGGACCTTGTGCTTGCAAGGCAGGTGTGGTGCCACTGAGCTAAATCCCTGGCCCCAAATATTTTTGATCTATGGTTGGTTGGATCCACAGATGCAGAACCCATGGATATGGAGGGCTGACTATATTAAGTATTTACTGGCATTTAGGAAATATACAAGGGAGTATAGTCCCTTTGGAGACACTCTCAGATCAAAAGCAAGGATGAGACTTACTCAAGCAAAGCTGGAAATTTTCAAAAAGAATGACTGGTTGAACAAGGCCAACCTTGCTAGTTCAAAATTGATTCATTGTAATGAAGTTGGACATGGCCCATTTACTGAACCCCAAGTCTGACTATGGCTTTTGAGAATTGTTTTGACCCATTAAGGCTATTGACTCCATATATACAGGTTGCAAACAGTCAATAGTTTCAGGCTGGGGATTTAGCTCAGTGGTACTGTCACCTGCTTCACAAGCACAAGGACCCGAGTTCAATCCCTGACACCAAAACAAAAAAAACAAAACAAGAAAAAAAAACAGTCATAGTTTCACCATTGCACCATTTTTTTCAGACCAGTTTTCTAGTAAATTCCTTCTAGGGGAGCCCTGACCACGTGCTTTTTTTTTTTTTCAATTTCTCATTCCCTCCAGGCCTTGGATTCTGCAAATGTTCTATTAAACCTAGCTTTTTTTCATTGTGATCAAGAACACTTCCATAATTAAAAGTGGATGGTTTATATCTGAAGGGAAAAGACATTACCTAGGTAAGGTGGAAAAGCATGTAGCTTGTGTTAGGAGATCCCCAGGACCACCTCCAAGTTTGACAATTAGCTAAGAGAGCTCACAGGACTCAGCATATAGTCACACAGCTATGGCTTATTATAAAGGACACTCAGCATAGCCAGCAAAGGGAAAAGGCATACGGGGAGAAATAAGTCAGGAGGAAACCAGGCACAAGCTCCCAAGGATCCTCTCCCAGAGGAGTCACACAGAACATGCTTAATCCTCACAACAATAAGTGGTGAGAAGAAGATGCATGAAACAGCACCAAGCAGGGAAGCTATTTAGAGACCCAGAACAGATCAATAGGTAGCCTATGCCTAGCACACCCCCAAATTCCAGACTCCCCAAAGGAAAGCAGAGGTTTAGCATAAATCATATTGTTTTTACAGTTTAGGTTTGGTGAGCCATTCTTAGTTAAGGGTAGAAGCTCTCCCTAAAGTCCAAGACCCCAGAGACCAGTCAATGCCCAACCTTTAAGCAAGCTTTTCAGAGGATAGCAGTTTGGTGTGGTATGTTAACTCTTTTCTGCACATATTCCAATTTGAAAACATTCATTGTCATGTTCAACTTTTTTATTTGGACACCATGGAGATGGTAGACATTTCTATAAGGGATTTACCAATTTCAGGGAAAGTGTTTATATCTCTGATGTTGAATAGGGCCTTTGACCCTTGGGTTAACTTTTCTGTCAGATCTAGGAAAGGGACCAGCAAATTATGGCCTGGATGTCAGACATTGGATCTGTTGTTAAATACTGGAATTCTTCATAAGTAATTCTTGTGATATTTTATAATTTTTTTCTAAATAATTTTAAGCTTTTCTCTTGGATGCAGTTAAGTTACTTGGAAACAGTCTGATTCTTTCAAGGCTTGCTTTTCAGCTTTGTTATGCCGGATCAGACCACAGCAGCCTTTAGTCTGGGCTAATGCTTTTCTGAGCATTCTACCTAACGCCCTTATATTGCAAGGGTTCTTCACTTTGACTCTTGGCAATGAACCATTTCCAGCCCTGTGTGATAACCAAAAGGTTTTCTACCTGATTTTTTTTTAGATCATTTCCCACACACATGTGCACAGGTTAGTGCTAAGTGGAGGAGTTGGCCTCTAGAGATCAATCTCTGGAATCTCTGGGCAACATTCGCTTCACTGGTCTTTGGCCCTGCAAATTCTAGCCACCTTAGTCTCTTCAGATTCAGAGACTGGGGTATCTGGTCCAGTTTCCTCCCTTGCACTACAGCCTAGAAACTTGCTCCAGGCATTTGCCTACAGTGATTGTAGAGCTCATCTTTTCTCCCTTCTCTTAAGTCCAATAGGTGTCTGAGAATCATTACTTCATATATTTCATCCAGTTCTTTAGTAGTTAAGTAGGAGGGTGAAGCTGGTTGTTGTTACTTCATCCTGGCAAGAATAATATTTCCATCTAATCTATTATCTATATTATATTTCTATTTTGTCAGTTAACCTGATAATGTATTCCATACTATTTTTATTTCCCCTTCAGTATAGTGCTGAATCTCGGCTTGGATACTGAATGAGTTGAAATGTCTTCTCAGTGTCTTTTAAATTAGAACATTTCCATAACCTTTGTCTTTGACGACAATGACATTTATGAAGAATAATTGTTCCTCCACCTTTATCTTGTTTTGAGTCTGTTTGATGGTTCCTCATATTTAGATTCAGGTGAGAATACTACATAGGTGATATTATATCCTTTTTACAGTATAATGTCTGGAGCTACATGATGTCCATCTCTCTCTCATTGTTAAGAATAACTTTGGTCACCTGGCCAAGGTGTTGTCCAGTTTTTCCATTGTATAATTAATGCGTTTTTCATTCTTTGAAACTCATGAGCAATCTGTGGGGAGATACTTAAAGATCATGAAGATATTCTTTCATCAAAATTTCCCTTAGGGGCCGGGGATTTAGCGCAGTGGTTCTGCCACCGGCCTCACAAGCACAAGGATCTAAGTTCGATCTCCGATACCCCCCCAAAAAAATCCCTTAAGTGGTAGATGACAATGACAAAAGCCGAGTGGTCTCAATATGAGCCACAAAGCAGACAGACTGAAGTACCACAATCCCCCTCCAGAACACCCCTCAATGACATAAGGACCTCCCTCTAGTTCCCACCCCAGAAACTAAATCTACTTTTGAACCTCTGGGGCACCCCCCCCAAACCATAGCAGCTTATAAGTTATGATTTTTAGGATAGTGAAGTCTAATTTTGACCTTTCAAGAAAACTATCCAACCTATCTGAATCTCAAAGTTCTCATCTGTAAAATAGGGACATTGGACCAGCTCTGTCTAGAAGAGGCAAATAGAGCTACAGAAGGGACTAAGGCAATGGTGGCAAGCCTATGGCAGGCGTGCCACAGCACGCATACAGATCCCTCTCTGTCATCACACAAGCCAAGTCACTCCAGCAGCTGAGTATCAGAAGCTAAAACCTCAGTGTTCAGGTTTAATTGCAGTGTTCATACTTTGTAATAAAGAAGTGGGTATGGGGTTTCAATTTGGACCCTCAGTCTCTAAAAGGTTCACCATCACTGGACTAAGGCATGAATTAACACATCGATTTTCAGTTCTGTTGCATATTAGAATCCCCTTGAAGCTTTTGAAAATGATTGATGCCCAAGAACCAGCCCAGACCAATTAGGCAGAATGTCTGGGGTTGGTTCCACGTGTTGCTAGTTTTTAACTCTCCCCAGTGACTTTACTGAATGGTCAAAGGTGCAAACCACTGCTTCAAAGGCTGACTCCAAGCATCATCAACCAAAATTAGTTAGTCTCCCTGCACTTGTTTACTTATGCATAACCTGGGAGGCATATACCTGCATTTTATGACACACAACTCCTATTTATGGGCGCTGTACTACTATGATTTTAAGGTCTTTATGTACAGTAAGTCATCTGCTATGACAAGTGAAAAGCTTTCAGATTCATGAAAGAAATTCAACACACCCCTCACTGCCAAACTGATGTCACAATCCAGAAAAGCAAGAGCAGGGTCTGGGATGTAGCTCAGTGGCTCCACGCCTGCCCTGTAAGCACAAGGTCCTGAGTTCTATCCCTGGTATCAAACAATCAATCAATCAATCAGTAACAGAAAAGCAAGAGCAAAGCAACATCTGTGAGTTGGGAAGACATGTGTGCAAGGTTTGGAGACACTTAATGGAGGATTACTCTGAGTATTTCTTTCTAAAATGAATTCCAAAAGGCTTTTCATCAGCCCTAAGGGCAGACAGAAGGCAGCAGCAGTGGGGCCTGTGCTGAACCTCAGTTTTCCTTTTTGAGTGGACTGGACTATCGTTTGACCTCCACATTCTTTATTTTTTATTAGCACATGTTTGCAATACATGCAGTTTACAATCATCTTGGGGAGTGGGTACATGTAGCTCTTTTTTTAAATCAAATTCCCCTTCCCAGGCTGGGGATTTAGCTCAGTGGTTCTGGCGCCTGCCTTGCAAGCACAAAGACCTGAGTTCAATTCCCGGTACCAAAAAAAAATTTCCCTTTCCTTCTGCCTCCCTCCAGCCACCTCTAAATTCCTTTATCTTGTTGATGTTATTAATCTTAACTCACGCTTATAACATATCATGTTTGCATTCATTTAGGTTATTAGCTTCCTGTACGTGGCATATCTTTATTCTACTTATTTCCCCTTCCCCTCTCCCTCTCCTCCCACCCACATTTTCTCAAAGTCCTTCCCATTTGCAAGAAATCTATCCCCTTGTCTCCTTCTATCCATCTTTTATAATGCAATACTCCTAAGGGCTGGTGAATAGTGAAATGGGCAAAACGTGTAAGAGTCGAGGAGCATGTATCTTCCATCACTGAGGGACCTCCTCATGGTAGCCAAGAGGAGTGCCCTAAGAACTACATCCAGGGCTGGGGATTTAGCTCAGTGGTTCTACTGCCTGCCTTGCAAGCACAAGGTCCTGAGTTCAATCCCTGGTACAAAAAACAAAAAACAACAACAAAATAAACTACATCTACAGTTGCTAGACCCAAATAGGAAACATGCATGTCAAGAAGCATGGCATGTCATGGGGGAAAATGGTTGAAGTCTATATTCCCCTGACTATCCAATGCCTCCTGCCTCTGCCCCCCAACAAAAACCCAACTAAATTGGATCAGCATGGTTCTGGGTATGGCTGAAGGGGTTTATTGAAGACAAAAGAGCTACCCTGGGTGTGAGTGGCACCAGCCAATAGGCTTTCTGCCTAAATGGAATAAAAGGGAAAGGATGAAAGAAGGCTTGCTACTGTTTCTGCAGAGGAGCTTCAGTCTTCACCTTCACCTTGGATGCTGTCTCCTGATTTCCAGCACAAACTCTTCACTCTCTAGCACAGACCTTTCAGCCTCTTGATATGGACTCACACGGCACACCAGGCACAACTTTTGTGCTTTTCCACACCTGACTCTGCAGGTGGACATGGTAAGCCAATCTTGTAAATGCTTATATATATTTGTTTATCTTGCATTAAATCTGTTTCTCTAGTAAAAACTAATACACATGATTAATGACTTAACTCTGATCATCCAGCTATCCTCTTGCACACCTTTACTTCCTTTAGTGTGTCCCATAATTGTGTGGGATCTGGTCCCTATAACTAAATTCATTATTCCACGTCACTCATGGTGATTCCTATTTCCCAATCACACACCACCAAAATGCTCTCAAAGAAGCAGGTCTGGATTTGAGATCAGGAGTTCAGCTTGACCTTGTTAGATTTAAAGTTCCTATTTAGCAGCCAGATGGAGATTTTGAACAGGAAACTTGAAATTATGAGTCTGTAGTTCAGGGGAGAGATCCAGACTAAAGAAATTTGGAAACAAAAATGTGAAGACCGTCCTAAGGCCACGAGACTAAATGAAGTCATCAAAGGTCTAAGTGTAAATAGAAAAAAGTACTATAAGGAGACTCCAGGGATGCTCTGATATTAAGAAAATAAAGTGCAGAGAATACACACTAAAAGAGCAAATACTGAATGAAGACCAAAAAACGTCATTAAAAGCTGGGGGAGGGGGGTGCGTGCCACCCCCCTCCATGCTTGGAGTAATCCAAGCACTCGGGAGCCGAGGCAGGAGGATTGCCATGAGTTTGAGGCCAGCTGACGCTACATAGTGAGTTCATAGCCAGCCTAAACTACATAGCAGGACCTTTCTCAAAATTTTTTTCTAAAAACATTATTAAAATGAGCAAAGGTTTTCAGTTGGATAAATGTAGAAAATTTGGAAAAAGTTGCAGACTATTTATCAGGCAGATAAATAAAATACATTTGCCAGTTTCAAAATATATATACCAGGGATGGGGACTCAGTTCAGTAGCACTGCACTTGCCGCAGGCACAA